TTTTTTTTTTCCATCCAAGGGAGCGTTTTTTCGGGGAGAATCCAAAAACGGATTTGTGATCTCAGATCATATGGATTCTTCATCACCAAAAACACGGAAGATCCGAAAAAAGGATCATTTACCATGACAACGGCATGTCCTCGTGCTCCTCTTGATGAGAAAAATAGAGGAAAAAAAAACAACAAACCGATCCCCGCGACGAAGACAAGAAGGATCAAGAAGGAGAAGCAACATAGACTCTGTATGAATATACGAAATGTATATATTTCGGTTTGAAACTCAAACGTTTCTCGAATAGAATACACCTTAGGATAGTAAAATTTAAGAATTTACTGAAGCCGGTGAATTGTACATTTTTTAATTACTTGGAAAATAAACCGATGTAAGCACCCACTACATACGTACAAACAACGTGACAAGTAAGGGCTAAAAGCAGTCTACGAATGTAAATAGATGACAAAGTGGGATGATATGTAACTAGGTTCATTTAGAATGTCATACAGGTACGGCGGGGGCATTTGTTGGGTACCATTTTTGTTCGGAAAACCGCTTGTCAAAAATACCTTTTTCAAATCCTTTCCCCCAAAAACGCTCAGATTGTGAATCTCAAAAATCCGGATTTGGATTTGATCCGTAGAAGCCATCCGGAGAGTGGATTTTATAGATTCATGATCCGTTGTTGGATTTGCCAAAAAAACGCCAAATACGTTTTTAGATTCGGAAATCCGGATTTGAATTTTCCACAAAAAAAACGCACCTAATAGAAATTTGGTCACCAGTCCTCTGGTAACCAAACAGCCAGAAGTCACTGGGTACGAGATTGCCTTAGCGCTTACTAAATTATTGGTAAAACAGTTTCCAATAGACAAATGTTTGAATTTACGTCATTTAATTTTTTTAGTCTGCGCTCTCTTAACCCGAGCATATGGACCAATTCTTGGATCAGTAATGAAATCCCAGATCACCTTTGTCCAGGAAGTGTGATACGGCAAGTTGTCGTAATACTCTGCTGCAATCTTCTTGACCAGCGGAAGTTTGGAACCTGGAATGCTGGGAAAATCGTGATGCTCGTTGTGATACCCAACGTTGAAAGTCAGCCAATTTCCTGGACCGTAGTAAGAATATGTTTCGCAGCCTTCCGCGAACATGTAATGCTCAGCGATGAAGTGGCCCGCCAAAGGGTGAAGACCCGTACCGAGAACTGTACTAGCGGCCATGAACACAAGTGATTTTAAACCCCAGAACTGTACGACCAAGTAGTCGAAAACGAGCTGAACGACGATGTTAAGGATTTCTAAGCCGCTTGGTGTCAACGGGTTAACAAC